TTTTACTTTGATCTATTTTGAATGGCGTGGCACTGAAACCAGCAATACTTTATAAGAACACAAATTTAATTCTCAAAACCACTGAATGAATGATTTACAAAGTACTTTCCTTATATTATCTGCATCTTTTTCCTCCACTAGCTGCTGTTTCTCTTCAGGGGTGACTTTGAAAACCGTTTCCTTTTAGCTTGAGGCTTCATGTTTGTGTTGTTGACTGTTGACTGTTCATTCACGAAAAAGAAAACTGGCGGCGTTTTTCCCGCCCTCTGTCACGCCACTTTCCAACATGCTTTGATCACGTGCTGTAATAAATCCAGAGCTGGGAGATAACATAGACCTATTAAAACCAGATGAGTCATCGATATGTCAGCGGCGTCTTACCAAATGACTGAAATGATCCCGTCGACTTCCGCTCACTTGATCGATCGCAGCGTGGATGTTATATTTGCGTTAGTTCGAGTTATAAAACGGTCAATATTGTCGTTTCCAGTTCATATCACTAAAAAAGGTTAAATCTGTAATAGATTCAGCTGTATTGCATTGAACGACGTGGCTTATGGTCTTCCCAAGGAAAGCTGGTTTCGGTCGATGTTATTTAGTGTCAACACGTCACGAAATCCTATCTAACATCGACCGAAACCTAACCGGAACTCGGCCGCGCCTATGAAAAAACCGAAATAAAATAAATCCCGCGACAACAACACTTATCATCCTTATGTTCCTGACCTACCTCAGTAAATTTTACATGAAAGCTTCATTATCTTGCCTAAGAAGTTTAACTTTTCAGTTAAAAAGACGTTAAGAATCTTGTTTCCACTTTCTTACTCTTAAAATATTTTTTTCTCAAGGTTAAGAAAAAAGCGTCATGGACAACATCTTGGAGATTCGACAAACCATTCATATTGGTGTAGTCGTTGCAACTTTCCTTTTCAACAATGGACGTATTATAAAAGCAGTAGCCATCTTTAACGAATGTTTGGTGCTCCTTAACGGTAGAGCCCTAGAGACAATCAAAGAACTTACCACACCACTTTTTATCTATGTATACTGTAAACTTCTTGATGGCTATACTCGTGTGTACGATCACACCCGTGCGATAAAATGTGGTAAAAGGCTTCTAGTGACACTACATAATAGTGGCCACAAAAAAGTAGAAGGGATGACATTACTTAAACTAGCGAACATCTACCATCAAACAAGCAAATACGAGGAAGCAAAACAGTTTTACGAGAAGGCGCTTAGCATCATGATTGAGGCTGGAAATAATCGCGGAGTTGGAACATGTTACGGAAATCTAGGAACCGTGTTTCTTTCTGTTGGTCAATATACCAAGGCTGAAGAATACCTTCGAACAGCACTAGTGATCAGGAAAGAAATCGGTGACAAAGAAGGAGAAGCATCAGATTACGGAAATCTAGGAACTGTGTCTTTTTCTGTTGGTCAATATACCAAGGCTAAAGAATACCTTCAAAAAGCACTAGTGATCAGGAAAGAAATCGGTGACAAAAAAGGAGAAGCATCAGATTACGGAAATCTAGGAACTGTGTTTAAATCTGTTGGTCAGTATACCAAGGCTGAAGAATACCATCAAAAAGCACTAGTGATCAGGAAAGAAATCGGTGACAAAGAAGGAGAAGCAGCAGATTACGGAAATCTAGGAACTGTGTTTCAATCTGTTGGACAATATACCAAGGCTGAAGAATACCATCAAAAAGCACTAGTGATCAGGAAAGAAATCGGTGACAAACAAGGAGAAGCAGTAGATTACGGAAATCTAGGAACTGTGTTTCAATCTGTTGGTGAATATACCAAGGCTGAAGAATACCTTCAAAAAGCACTAGTGATCAGTAAAGAAATCGGTGACAAAGAAGGAGAAGCATCTGCTTACGGACATCTAGGAACTGTGTTTAAATCTGTTGGTCAATATACCAAGGCTGAAGAATACCTTCAAAAAGCACTAGTGATCAGGAAAGAAATCGGTGACAAAAAAGGAGAGGCATCTGCTTACGGTAATCTAGGAACTGTGTTTCAATCTGTTGGTCAGTATACCAAGGCTGAAGAATACCTTCAAAAAGCACTAGTGATCAGGAAAGAAATCGGTGACAAACAAGGAGAAGCAGTAGATTACGGAAATCTAGGAACTGTGTTTCAATCTGTTGGTGAATATACCAAGGCTGAAGAATACCTTCAAAAAGCACTAGTGATCACGAAAGAAATCGGTGACAAAGAAGGAGAAGCATCTGCCTACAGATATCTAGGAACTGTGTTTAAATCTGTTGGTGAATATACCAAGGCTGAAGAATACCTTCAAAAAGCACTAGTGATCAATAAAGAAATCGGAGACAAAGCTGGTGTTGGAGCTTCATACTTAAATCTGGGAAAACTTTGTGCAGAATTTCAACTTACTGCCAAGAGTCAAGAATTTGCTAATAAAGCACGGGAGATAAGTTACGAAACAGGGGACATTGAAATGCAGTTTAACAGCCACCTTACCATTGCTGTGAACGAGTTAGTGGCAGAAGGAAGCATAACTAAAGTTCGGCGAAATCTGCATGAAAGCATTCAAAAGTGCGAAGAAATGCATGATTTTTTAAGAGTGAAAGATCAATTCAAAATTTCTTTTTTTGATGAGCATGTGTCCCCTTACCTTCTTCTTTGTAGGTTGTTAATTGCTACAGGCAGTTATTATGAAGCTCTTTACGTTGCCGAGCTTGGACGATCCAGAGCACTGACAGACGTACTTTCAGATAAGTACTCTGTGGAAAAAGGGGTATCAGTCAACCCACAGTCATGGATTGGAATTGAAAACATTATGAACAAAAATGGACTTAGTTCTTGTCTTTATGTTTCCTGCTTCGATGATAATATGTACTTTTGGATCCTCAAGCCAAACAAAATTATAGTTTTTCGACAAACGAGACTCAAAGAAAGTGCAGATAGAGTGTTTGGAAATCAAACATTGGGTGGCTCTCTTGATTTACGTCAAGATCAATGCGAAGATCGATCATTATTTTCATGTGTAAGTTCCCCGCTATCATGCAAACAATCTCAGAGTGACAGCTTCGAATCTTTGCGTCTTATCGAAGAAGAGGAAGACGAAAATCACGACTCTAAACCTTTAACCCTTGCTGATGGTTACAACATGATAGTCGCTCCTGTAGCTGACTTGCTCCAAGAATCAGAAATCATTCTTATACCAGATAACTTGTTGTATCCTATTCCTTTTACTGCTTTAAAGGATGCTAATGGAAAGTATTTATCGGATACTTTCAGGATTCGCATTGTCCCTTCCTTGACGACTCTTAAGTTGATTCAGTTCAGTCCAGCAGACTACCATAGTAAAACCGGTGCACTGATCGTAGGGGAACCAGACGTTAGTGATGTATACTACGGAGGAAAAATTCTACAGTTAAACTCACTGCCTTGGGCGAGAAAGGAAGCAGAGATGATTGGGCGACTGCTCGGTGTTCAACCGTTGCTTGGAAAGGATGCAACTAAGCAGGCAGTCCTGGAAAGCATGCATTCAGTAAGTCTCATTCACTTCGCTGCTCATGGTTATGCCGAACGTGGAGAAATAGCTCTTTCCCCTATAAGCTCCTGCGAAACTCCACACGAAGAAGACTACTTATTAACGATGGCTGAAATTTTACAAGTTCGACTAACAGCCAAGCTGGTTGTCCTTAGCTGCTGTCATAGTGCACGTGGTCAGATTAGAGCTGAGGGAGTTGTTGGAATCGCTCGAGCATTTCTAGCATCGGGTGCACGCGCCGTGCTGGCAGCGCTGTGGGCTGTAGAGGACAAAGCTACCATGTGGTTTATGAATCGTTTTTACGAGCACCTTGTTCACGGTGAAAGTGCCAGTGGATCTCTTCATCAGGCCATGAAGTCGATGAGAGAGACTCGCTTTTCTGACTTCAAGCAGTGGGCACCCTTTATGCTGATTGGAGATAATGTGACATTCAAAGGTTTGTACTTGATATGATTTTTAGGTTTTTTTAGTTATCTTAGTCAAAATTTGTGAAATTGATGTTCGTGACACTAAGCATCATTTTGAAAAATATTATTAGGGGAGTTATACTGAGTTTTCTTAGTTTGCGAAAATTATTCGAATCACATTTAAGCTGAAAGTGACAGAATATGACTTAACTGAATTTTTAGCATACAAATGATTCCTCAAAATGTAAAGGTTTTGTTATTTGTTTGACTTTGAAAAAATCTATGCCAGATATTTAGGTAAAACATTTAGCGCAACGAGCAACAGAAGCATGTTGATCGATGGCTAAAATAAATCGTGCAACGTCATGATTAGTTTTTTTTATTTGCATCGCAGGTGCATTTGATAAGAGCAGTTTGAAAGGTGGCGAAGGTGCAACGGAAACAAAGAACTTGTAAACTGAGAGGAAACATGTTCAAGTTGACAACTACTGTCACAGCTGTACATAAATGTATATACCTAGGATCTCAAAGAAGCAGTTTTGTCTGAGCCAAAGCGAACAAGTGATAATTGTACTTTTTAAAGCAGGCGACATTTTGATACGTTACGGGGGAAGGTGAAGCATGAGCTGAGCGTGGAGCACAAGGGGAAGGGATAGCCAGGACCAGTTAGTCGTCCTCGTAGTGGAGACGTCAAAGTTGTATAGACCTTCTGAACCTACGTCTACTATATTAGTCAGGGCTTCTTTCGTTCTACGGGACTTCTGCTACTCTCGTCAAGGCCTGCCCTTCAATTCATGGTTGCTTCAAATAAGCTCAATCACTTACATGTCGTACATGAACACAAGTATTAATTTGGTTTGATAAACTTTGTAAATGTACTGATCTTGACAAACGTGATGAAATGCCAAATAGATATCTAAGTTATAATATGATTTTACTCAGTTAGTTCTGTCACACCATCAATGGTTAAAGGCCGTGGATGAGGGCAAACAGGTGGACGTTGTTTTCCTGGACTTTGCAAAGGCTTTTGACAGAGTGGCACATAATATCCTGCTGCAAAAATGTGTAAGTTTGGTATCTCCGGTGCGCTTTGAATTACTGTAAGGATTATCTCACCGACCGAGAAAAGAGAGTTGTTATAGAAGGAATAAATTGTACATGGTGCGCTATTCCATCGGGCGTACCTCAGGGCTCCTTATTGGGCCCTTTGTTCTTTGTAATTTTCATTGGTGATTTTCCTGAAGTAGTAGTGCCTGGAAACTGTGTGTAATTATATGCTGACGACTGCAAAACATCCAGGATTATAAACTGTCCGGCTGATCATATCCGTATTTCAGTCCGGGCCCAGTTGTTCGAACGCCGGTTATCGCCAATCCGGGGTAAAATTTTAACCCAGGTTTCTTTTTCTTTTTATCACTGATAAAAAGAAAAGCACACTATCGGATAATTTTCACTATTCTTTTTAGAGTATCCAGTCATCAAATTGTAGGCAAAGAGAATTAAACTGAATTTGNAACGTGATGAAATGCCAAATAGATATCTAAGTTATAATATGATTTTACTCAGTTAGTTCTGTCACACCATCAATGGTTAAAGGCCGTGGATGAGGGCAAACAGGTGGACGTTGTTTTCCTGGACTTTGCAAAGGCTTTTGACAGAGTGGCACATAATATCCTGCTGCAAAAATGTGTAAGTTTGGTATCTCCGGTGCGCTTTGAATTACTGTAAGGATTATCTCACCGACCGAGAAAAGAGAGTTGTTATAGAAGGAATAAATTGTACATGGTGCGCTATTCCATCGGGCGTACCTCAGGGCTCCTTATTGGGCCCTTTGTTCTTTGTAATTTTCATTGGTGATTTTCCTGAAGTAGTAGTGCCTGGAAACTGTGTGTAATTATATGCTGACGACTGCAAAACATCCAGGATTATAAACTGTCCGGCTGATCATATCCGTATTTCAGTCCGGGCCCAGTTGTTCGAACGCCGGTTATCGCCAATCCGGGGTAAAATTTTAACCCAGGTTTCTTTTTCTTTTTATCACTGATAAAAAGAAAAGCACACTATCGGATAATTTTCACTATTCTTTTTAGAGTATCCAGTCATCAAATTGTAGGCAAAGAGAATTAAACTGAATTTGCTTTTTAAGCTCTCATATCCGAGTTCAAATTTTGCACTATCCGTGGGTTACCTTAACCTAGCTTCGAACAACCCGGCCCAGATCTCGACAATTTATATGCATGGAGTCAACAACCGCGGCTTAGGGAGTTTAACGTGAAGAAATGTAAACTAATGCAATCTGCAATCTGTTTTGGAGCACTCATATTGATAAAATATCGAATAAGGCCAACAAGATCCTAGGTCTAAGGGACCTGTAAAGGATTTATAGATGTTTCCACATTGAGAACTCTGTATCTTGCCCTGGTCAGATCACAGCTAGAGTATTGCAGTGTTGTGTGGTCACCACACACATCTAGAAAAATTTCTAAGTTGGAGCGAATTCAGCGAAGGGCAACTAAGTTTATTTTGAAGACCATGATGATTACCGACAACGGAGAAAAAAGCTCAATTTGTTGTCCTTAGAACAAAGGCGATTTTTATTTGACGTATTATTCCTGTATAAAGCCCTGAATGGCTATATAAATATTGATCTATCTACATATGTACAGTTTTTTTCTCAAATTCTGATCGGTATCCTTTAAGGGGAAAAAATGAATGTGCTCTGAAAAAGAATTATGCTATAATACATTTAAGTTTAGTTTTTTCAATAGGATCGTGGACATGTGGAACACTCTACCATTGCTTGTTCGTCAGGCAACAACTATTGCTAGTTTTAAGAAAGGAATGAGGGACTTTTTAGCTGGAAATGTGTGATTTTTTTATTGTTATTATTATTTTAGTGATTGTCTTTTTTGTACATATCTCCATATGCATTTTCACATTTTTTAATTGTCTGTCTTATTTAATCTTAGTTTTTATGATATGAATATTTTTTAGAAGGTGGCCTGTCTTGTATGAGGTCTTTGACTCTTTTACAGACCGTCCTTTTGGCAATGCCTTTGTATGTATCACTTTCGTGAAACCTTTTGCCATTAAATTGTAATAAATAACAAAAGTGTTCTCTGGAATTAAGTGCTCTTTGTCAGAGGCACCCATCGACGATCTCCTCCTAAATACATTGAAAACTCTTTTTAGGCTATCCAGAGTGCTTTTTTAATAGATCTCTAGAAATACATTCTATATCTATTCAGTCATCCTAGGGGCGCTTGAGTCTTTTCTACATTACAAGGGCTTCTGTATTATTGTCCCCAAAATTTTAGATGCAATTTAAGGTAATACGATAGTGAAAATTTTTCGGATTCCTCTCTCCATCACTTCTTTGAATCCGAAAATAATTTTAGGTTTCCTTTTTTCAACGAAAAATAGGCTAAGCTAGGGAGTGAAATGTGAAAAATTAAACTTACTTTAGAAAATCGTAGGGAATTTATTTCCGAAAATTGTGCCTGAATGGAACGGTCATCTAGACATTTTTAGCTGTCCTCAAATAAAAGAAAATTCTAGGCAATATTTGCCTCTCCGAACAGATATTTTACAGAAAGCCGTCGTTGGGTGCCCCTGCTTTGCGTCAATACGATAATTACGGTATAGTTTTTAAGCTGTTTTATTTGCCTAAGATCAATCACCACCACAGTGTTTCACTGATTACTGTTCTAGAGTTGTGACAGTGTTAAGCGGAAAGTTCTAAAACATGATGGCGAGTCTTAGAGGACACAAACAAAGAAAATGAATAAAAATGTTTGTGTCCTCCACGCTCTAAGACTCGCAGTTGTCGTGCTGAATTTTTATATATCGAAAGACCCCCATTAGTGACTGATAAGACTTAACAACTCAGGCGATGGACGAAATTGTATTCTCCCGTTTTGAATGGGGCGTTTTCCAATCCTCTGCCCTGCCCTGTCTTACCTGCTATGGGTGATCCTTTTTTTTTTCCAAACTGACAGCAATGAATGGCTTGGGGTTCACTAGAATTTAGAAGTTGGGCTTTATTCTGAGATGGTCCTCTTACAGCATTATGAACCCGGTTTATGAAAAGGACTTGAGATCTTTACTGAACACACAAATCGGTCTAGTTGTATAGTACATCGCTCCACGAGTTTCTCATATACGTCCCACAGACGTCCTGGAAGATCATAGATGCAAATCCCGTTGGAATACTTAGACTCGGAACTGCTCACTGACTGTCTGTGTATTTCTTAGTTTTTCAATATTATATTTTCAATATTATAGCATCACTTGAAATAAATCATGTGGTTGAGAAGTTACTTCTACCTTTTAGCAGGAAGTAAAATTTACATTCCGTATTTATTGGACTGATGCCTTTGTATATACACTTCAGTTTTTACACGAAGGATTTTTCACTTACTGTTGGTAACTAAGGTTCGATTATTTGAAAAGTCCTCAGTAAGGAGAGGGAACCTGGGAACGAGGTTGCTTTCTGGTTCGTCAATAGGCTGGTTTCATTACTTATTTGTTTGGAATAAAATTTACTTTATTCTCACCCATAAACCTTGATATTTCATGAAAAAGTCGATCGCGTTTGATCGCGTTTTCGATCGAGTACTCGAGAAACGCGAAACGAGTGCTCTGAAAGCTCGCGCGCGAAACTCGCCCGCTAATTGAGACTGGGCACTAAAAGAAACAAATATGGCGACGGAGCACGCAGAACATGTGTGTAGTTAAATTGGACCTAAAGTGTCATTTTTAGACTCCAGGTACTCGTATGTCACCTCGATCGGATCTTTAACTTATTCATCAACTCGGAGCTTTATTTATGGCGCAGAAATTCACGGACGTGGCTTGGCAGAAGTCGTTTTCAAATCCCGCACTGGTCTTGTGAGGTATGCTCGAGCTTAACTTAAAGTTTTTAAAGTCTTTAACACAGAAAATGTTGGTCTCATGAACATGAAATATTTAGATAATGTTAGTGAAAGGATTAAGCTAATGTTTTAAATCTGATCACTGACTATCAGGTAATTTTAAGGTAGCCCTTCTCCGGACATTTTACCATCCCCATCTACAGTGAAACCTGTAATTTGTGGATACCCACGTGACCTTAGTTGGTGTTCCCTGAATACAGGCTCGCTTTGCAGTAAAAATGGGAAGAAAGTCTTCAAACAAAGTGAGCCATTCGTTCACTTAATATAATATAGGGTGTTCACTTAATGTGGACTTCACTTAAAAAGAGGCCCTCTTGCAAACCTCTCAACCCCAAAAGAGATCAAGGTCAAAAAACCTGGAGGTTTATCAACAGCATCAAAAAGAACTAAAACCAGGTTTAGGGAAGACATAAAATGAAAATGGATCGCCAAGAGTACGTTTAACAAGATACGAACCTTTTCATTCTGTTTTGAACTTTGTCTTCGCCTGATGAATTTTCATTGTTTCCCACCATTTTGACA